TGTAGGTGCCTGGCTCCCAAAGTGACAAAGCAGCCCACATTGACTTCCATGAGATCAAGAACTACAGAAGCAAACAAAAATGTTGGAGGAGCCTGAAATAGAAATTAACATTTGGGAAGACTGAAGAAATCTTGGTGAGTCATTGAAGACAGCAGAGAATCCAACTGGCAGAGAAGGAAATGAGGTTTCTCCAAAGATACAGCTAAAAAGTCCCTGGCAGTTGGTGTTAGAAATGACAAGGCAAACCTGTCAATCAAGAGGCAAAAGGATAAAACTGAACTGTGACCTGAACTTGGTCATGTCTCCAACTGAACTGAGATCCTCAGAAGACTAGATCCAAGCAAAAGAACAATTATGGTATGAAAGGCTGAGGATGGAAAGGAGGATTAGAGGTTTTTTTTGTTTTTTAAAAAAAGCATGGGGATTAGAGGTAAACAAAAAAAAAAGGCAAAAATAATACTCTGATATAGTCAGATGAGTGAAGTCAAAGACCGGTGACTCTGACCTCAAATCCCAAACAATCTACTTCTATCAATCTACTTTGACTTTAACACTCATCCATTATCTTTACACGTATTTGCTTGCCTCTAGGAAGTCCTCCGGGAGCTCTGGTAGCATAGTGGCTAAGGCACTTGACTGCTAACCAGAAGGCTGGTGGTTCAAACCCACCAGCCACTCCTCGGAAGGAAGGTTGGGCAATCCTACTTCCGTAGTGATACTGCCTCGGAAACCCAAGGAGGGGTCGCTATGAGTCAGGGCCGACTCGACAGCACATAACAACAACAACAACAGGAAGTCCTCCCGACTAGCTGTATCAACACCATCTAGGTGTCCATAATGCTTGAGCAAGTTTCCCAAGCTTTCTCTACATAGTATTTGAGAATGATCTTACTTGGTACACATTTCCTTATTGACCAGATATGTCTAGAACGTCAATAGGACTTCCACTTTCTGGATAGATGTATGTGGACACATTCCTGTTAGGGTGTTATGGTAGTTCATTTTGTGTGTCAACTTGGCTGAGCCTGGTTGTATGGCTGGCCAGCTGGATGTAGTATTCCCTATGATGAGACTGGTAATCAACTCCATGGTGGAATCTACTGTGAGCAGCTGAGTAGCTGCCTTACGGATGTGGTCTGCTTCCTGTATATAAGCAGCAGCTTAGGGAATGGTCTCCAGCTTATGGCACACTTGAACCCTGAATGTAGCCATGTCCTTGTTCAGTAGTCTCCCGTGCTCTGCCGATCTTGGGACTTTTAATGGACTTGAATTAATGGCCTGCCATGTGGTTGGGAACATCGGGACTGTGCCTTTTTACTTGTCAATCTTGGGCTTGTCAGCTCAGCAGCCAGCAGCTGAGTGAAGAAAAGCCTCCAGCTTCAGTGGGCCGGGAGCAGGAGGCAGAGCTGAAGCCCAAGGTTGATGGGCTTTCACCCAGCCCCTAGAGCCTGGCACTTTGAACTTGGACTTAAAGCCTCCAAACTGTAAGAGAATAAACTGTTTGTTAAAGTCATCCCATTTGTGGTATACTGCTGTCAGAGCGGCACTAGGGAACCAGAATAGGTATGCACAACGGGTCTAAAGTAATCCCAGCCCAACAGAGATTCACCAAAATGACCAAGGAATGCACCTTCAAAGCCACCCACTACTCTCTTTCCTTTTAACCTGCAATGACTTACTTTTTTCTTGGTGATAATATCCTATTGCCACATTAGCTTTTGACTTTTAACCCAGACTCCATGTCATCTGGAAAGGTCTATCACTGTCTGCTTTGTCCATTTTTACCTTCCTCAAATCACTCCTCAGGATTCATTTCTTCTCTATTTGTTGTTATTGTCAGGTCTCATCAAGTCAGTTCTGAATCACAGTGACCCTTTGTATAACAAAACAGAACACTGCCAGGTCCTGTGCCATCCTTGTAATTGTTGCTATGTTTGAGCCCTTTGGAACACCTCTATAGTACTCAAACAGAATGTTTCTGGAAGCTTATTCTAAATTATTCTAGACTTCTGTCCCTGAAAACACATACACACACAGATACTATATATATATACACATACATACATACATAGGGGTTCTGGTGGTGTAGTGCCTAAGGCATCTGACTGCTAACCAGAAGGCTGGAGGTTCAAACCCACCAGGAAGGTTGGGCAACCTACTTCCACAGTAATACGCCTCAGAAACCCATATATAGAGATAGATAGAGATATATATATAATTTTTTTTTATGCACGTACATATGGATATATTTGTTGTTGTTGTTGTTATTTGCCATCGAGTCGGCTCCGACTCATATATATGTTGCCTTCATTTTCATCTTGAGAGCATGTCAATATGTCTGGTCAGTTAAGTTGATTATTTCAAACTCTTAGGGCTCTAGCTATCTTTGCTTCACAGTTTCCCTTCAGTCTGGTCTCCCTGTCCTCATGCCCCCACAACCATTCACCAAAAAGCAATACCTTTGGGTCCACCATTTGGGCCGTCCCAGTGGTAGGGCGAAAGATGTTCTCAGCAGGCCTCCGTATAAAACACCTCTGCCACTTACCTGCCAAATTTCTTAAAGTTATCCCATCAATTAATTTACATTGGTTTATGTCCTAGGGGTCAAGCAGGTTTCAGAAGATAAGTCACTGCCAGCCACGGCGCCAATGTTAGAATTAATATGAAACTGTTTTTTAATAAGATATCAAGCAGCAAGCCAAGCACTGACAAATCAGATTTGGAAGATGAGAATGGGCGGGCAGAAGGACCAGGTGCAAAACATGGAGCAATATTGGTGATAGGACCAGGTTTCTCTGGAGCACTCAGAGGGCAGTTGAGGAGGGACAGATGGTCTCTGGAAAGCAAGGAGGCAGCACGAGCTTACAGCTAGTCTGGTGATCACACAGCACCTCGATAATAACGTCTTATACAGCCTATTTTTGTAAAAGGGTCCCTGGTGATGCAAAAGGTGAACACACTTAGCTGCTAAGCCAAAAGCTGGAGGTTCAAGTCCAACAAGAGGTACCTCAGAAGAAAGGCCTGCTGATCGACTTCTGAAAAACGAGTCACTGGAAACTGTCGAGAGCACCGTTCTACTCTGACTCTCCTGCAGTCACCATGAGTTGGAGTTGTCTCAGTGGCAACTGTTTTTTATATTTGCAAAATGTTGTAACATTTAAAACGTCCTTCCCCTACCTATCATCTCACCTGATGTTAACAAAGTGAGAAACAGGCAGAATGTACATTCTCACTTTTTAAGGTCAATGACTTTGAAGCCCAGATGATGGAGTGATAGTAAGCAACAGAGCTGAGACCTTTTAACCCCTAGTGCAGCTCTTTCTACAGGACAATGATTAAGAGTTCAGACCTGGAGGCACAGACATCTAGTTGAAATTCAAGCTCTAACACTTATTAGTTCTGCAATCTTCTGCAAGTTACTTGACCCTTATGAGCCTCAGTTTCTCTCCTGTAAAACGGAAATATTCATAGCAACTACCTCAAACAGCTACTGTAAAAGATTTCCTGAACATGGGGACCAGGTTTGCTGGTCTAATAGAGCCTAGTGGAACCACTGAGACTATGGCCCCGAGCTGCCCTTCAGGTCTGGAATTGAACCCACACCTGTGGTTTCCAGCCAAACAAAGTACAGGCATGTGAATTAAACATTTACCTCAAGTAGACATACGCCCTGGAGAGAACAATCATGGGAGAAGGAAGGGCTGCTTATGCACAGGGAGACAGCTCAGGGGGCAGGAGAGCATGGAGGGATGGACACTGGGAAGAGGTAACTATGGGGAGGAAGTGGGAGGGGAGCTGTTGCATTGTGGGAAACTGTGGTCAATGACATGAGACAAAGTATATGTGAACTGCTGTATGGAAAGTGAATTTGCTCTGTAAATCTTCACCCAAATAAAAATTAAAAAATAATAATAATAAATAAATAAAAAGATTTCCTAAACAAATGCACAGAAACAGCTAAGCCCAGGCCTGCCACACAGAGAACAAACCGTAAACATAAGCTACTCCTCCCTCACTGACTCTCACAGAAACAACTTAAAGTTTCAACTAGCTTCCCAAATTTCATAATGTCCTTCTGAAAATATTGGATCACCCATTCCTGAGAAGACTGGGACCAAGAAGAAAAGAAAGTTTCATCCTTTTAGGCTTGCCCTAGGGCAGTGTTCACAATCCTAGTTGCTTATTAGAATCATCTAGTCTGACTTAATTGGCCTAGCGTGGTCCAGTAATGTGTAGGCAGGGTCAAAAACCATTCCCCTTGGGAAGCCATTTTATTAACCAGGAATGAGGCAGAAACAAACTGCCTCTCCACAAATGAAAACATTATCCCTAGTGGGGAAGAAGGCGAGAGGCCAGCTTCTATCCTAAGCTCATTTCCTTCTGTTATGGCTCCCACAATGAAGGGAGTTTCTGGAAGCAAGGGGGAGGCCAAGTCTAAAGATGTAACCTTTACAGTTCATTAACCGCAGCCTTGGAAAGCAGGACCACTTACTTCTCTGGGTCTTCCAACTGAGCTGAGTTCAGAGCAGCTATCAACTGCATAGTGTGTGAATCACTCGCTGGCAAAGAAAGGTGAGAATAACGCAGTGCCTCACTCCTTGACCTCCGTGAACCCTGGACTACAGTCTTATTTCACATTTTTCAACATGCCAATAAAAAATCTTGGTTTTCTGCTCAAATAACTCAAGTAAGTAACTTCAAAAGTTTATAGGTCAGCTAAAAGAGCAGAAAGCTCAACCAAATAAGGCAAAAGAAATTTTGAATTTAGTCTAAGTATGATCCACCCAACATGAGATACAGCTGAAAATACCTGGTTTAAAGAAAAAAAAAATCTAGAAAATTAATGACAACTAAGTGGAATAAAAATTAGAGTCAAACACTATAAATGAATAGAATATATTTTTACTAGTTAAAGAAATTAAGCCATTCAGGAAATAGCCATAATCTCTACAAATAAATTTTCACCCACCACGTAATCCCTGGAAGTAAAAACGTCATACCTGATTAGGTCTGGTTCTGCACCCTCATTCTTAAAGGATGCCAGAAGTAGTCTCTCTCGAGTTACAAGATCATCCAATAGGTTCTGTCTCCGATCCCCTTCAAGCTGGGTTCTGCAGATATCTTGTTAAGGTCCAAGGGTGGATGAATTACCTCATTTTATCTATTACATGATTAAGTGAACTCTCCAAGTCAGTGGTGACTTTTATAGACTTTAATCAGCAATATCCAGAAGCTATTTGAACCATTCCTCTTCTTTTCCCACTCTGACCTTCACCTTCACTGACCCTTCAAGCACAAGACCTTGACAGTACCAAAGCACAGAAAATATAAATACTGGTATAGACCCATGGCACAACTTCCTTCACTGAGAAATATACTGTTGTTGTTGTTGTTATGTGCCGTCGAGTCGGCCCCGACTCATAGCGACCCCTCCTTGGGTTTCCGAGGCAGTATCACTACGGAAGTAGGATTGCCCAACCTTCCTTCCGAGGAGTGGCTGGTGGGTTTGAACCGCCAGCCTTCTGGTTAGCAGTCAAGTGCTTTAGCCACTATGCTACCAGAGCTCCTGAGAAATATACTAGATAAATACTTTCTTCCTCTCAGGCATTAATGTTCAGAAAAATTCTCTTTGAGCACTGTTACTTATACCTCAATATCTAAGACACCATTGAGCCAGACAGATGCCTTGTTGACAGGAATAATCATTTAAATTTTGGTCACTGAGAGGAAGAGTGTGTGTGAGTGTGTGTGGGTGTGTGTGGTGTATGTGTGCACATTTTAAAAATCAAAATAAAGGAAGTATTGGGGGAGAAAACTTGGGCCATGAAGAGAGCAAGTGGTGAAAGCGAATGACTACTTTTGAACAGTCTTATCTGACCCAGACATAAAAAGTAAAAGCAAAAATATGTCACTTCAGCAACTGGAGTTTTATCTGGCTTTTACTCTTTTCTTAAATGTCCTTTTTTTTATTAAAGCTAAAACACTGATGATTTAATATAGTCCTAGCCACAATTTCCTAGTTCTAGTAACAGCAAGCCATTAATGAAACAGATACTTCAGCTTTATAAATTATTTTCTTTTGGAAAAAGATTAGAAAACATTACTTTTAGGCCCAAAAAGTTTCTGAGACATTGGCAGACTCGAATAATAGTATCACCATTCCCTGGGTGGGAAAACCCTGGCCCAGTAAATCTACAATTTCCATTGCTAATTTTGATTTTAAAAACAAGCAAAAAAAAAAAAAGGCTCACTAGCTAGCAAAGTAGTAGATAAACTAGGTAAAAAATTTTCCCCAGTAACAGATAATAATTAGAAAAATCATAAATCCCCCAAATTAGTGTAGCTGAGCAGTGCTATTGGCTTCAGATTAAAAAATATTAAAAAATGAAAAAGGATTCTCTCAACCTTCCAGAATGCCACACTTTCCTGAGTCACGTTTACCACTATTATTTTTCAGTTATAAAGTACCCCATCTTGGAAACCTTGAAGTAGCAATTGTTCCTTAAGAAACAGTGAAGTTAAGTACATGCTCTATATTAATAAAAGGGCTAAATATTAACCTTTTGATGGCTGTAATATCAAAAATATATATCTATTATGTTTCAAATTTGTGGTCAATTATTGATAAAGCTTTCCTGCCATCTCAAAGAAGTTCCTCAAACACGAAAAATGACAGAGGCTGTGACATGAATTATACAGGACAAAATAGACACTAAATTGTAGAACTATTCATTACATCACAGTATTATGCTCAAGCTACCCTTGCTTAGCTTTGCAACTCTGGTTTTGTTGGGACTTCAGTATCTGACTAACCAAGCAAACGTATGCTAAACTACAATCCAATATTAAAATGGTTCAGGGATTTCAACACTAAAAAAAATGATATTGTGAAAGTATCATTAGAAGAAGACATAGGAGAACTTTTTAATAATCTTATAGGGAAAACCTTTGTAGGCAAGATTGAAAACCTAGACATCATGAAGGAAAAGATAAATTCAATTATATGAAATTTTCAAATATTTGCAAAATAAAATTACAAATGACAAATAGCAGCAAATTAAAAAAAGATAAAATATATAACAAGGTATGGGGGAGAAAAAGAAATACTATAAATCCCAAGCAAATGAAGATACTCACTTTCACACTAGTTTTAAAGAAATGCAAGCTGTAAGGAGATACCGTCTTCTGCCTATCAGTGAAGAAACTGTGACAAGGCAGTTCTGGAAAAAATGAGGAACCAAGTATCTTCACACTTTCCTGGCGGGAATGTGAACAAGTTCAAAAAACTGCCAGATGGTTTTCTAAACATTTATCAAAATTTAAAAAGCACTTTTTCTCAGCAGGACTTTTAATCTACACAATGGAATGTTTTACAACCTAAAAAAAAAACGTTCTTTATATACTGATAATAATGATAATGACTATTTTTAGCACTTACTATGTGCCAGGCACTATGATAAGTGCTTACATAAACGATTTGATATGGAGTAATCTCCAAAATACAATGTTAAATTAAAATGGAGCAGGAGGAGCAAGAGAGAAATAGGAGGAAAGCAAGGGCGAGAAGCAGCAGCAAGGAGTGAGGAAGGAGATCACCCTTCTGTTTTTAAAAAATCAGAAACATGTACGTGTGTATGTGCAAAGGAAATTTCTGGAAGGACACACAAACAAGTACCTCTAAGGGGGACTGCCAGATCTGTGCCGTGAGAAAGATCACTGAAGATTTTTTTAAACTGTTTGACTATAAATAATAAAAACATAAGTTTCAGAACATATGTATAGGATGAGCCCTTTATAGCCAAAAGAATTTTATGTTTACATGTGTGTATGTGTGTGTATTTCTTCACATCTAGGGAAGTCTGGGAAGATAGGTACAAAACGGTCAATACTGCTTAGCTCTGAAGAATGAGATGGAACACAATGGAGAGGAGGAAGAAAGAGAGAAGATTCACTGGTAAACAGCAAGCAGTGAGTAAGGTAGGAAGCAGTGTTTGTAATAAAAACAATAAAGAGAAATTTTAAAATTAAGCAGACGTTAGTTATAGATTTAAATTAATGTTAAGAATGGACTAGTTTAAAGAACACCAATTTCAAAACCAGTAAAATTTGATGACTATGTTTTGTAGATCAGTAACTGAGGAACACAGTCACAGAATTCTGAGGTTACAGGAGCCCTCAAACCGGTAACCAGTTGCCACGGAGTTGATCTGCCTCATGGTGCCCCCGTGTGTGTGGAACTGTGCTCCAGAGGGCTTTCAACGGTTGATTTTTTGGAAGTAGATCTCCAGGCCTCGCTTCTGAGGGACCTTTGAGTGGACAACCAACTCCACCTTCAGGTTAACAACCAACTGCATCCTCGGAAGAAGGTTGGGCAATCCTACTTCCGTAGTGATACTACCTCGGAAACCCAAGGGGGGGTCGCTATGAGTCGGGTTTGACTCGATAGCACATAACAACAACAACAGCAGCATGAACTATCTGTACCACCCAGGAACTCAGAAGAGCCTCTGATCAATTCTCTTGTCTTCCTGACCAGGAAATTAAGGACCCAAGTGGCTAAGTCACTTGGCTGGTTAATGCCAATGCTGAGCTGGAGCCTAGTTCTTCCTGCTCTGGGTCAGGGCCCTTCCCACCACAGCGTGCTGGGCTGGCCCACGAGCTTCCCAGGGCTTCTCCATCCTGGCGGCTCCCAGCACTGCTCACTTTGCCTATTCTTCTTGTTGTTGTTGTCATGGGCCGTGGAGTCAGACCCGACACACAGGGATCCCTCCTTGGATTTCTGAGGCAGTGTCACTACAGTCCTGTTAATACTGGCAATACCAATTGAGAATATTCCCAGAGACTCTGTAAATCTGGGAAAACTGAAAAACTAACCAATCAGGAACACAACAGTTTTATATATATACATATATATATATACATGTGCATGTATATATATATATATATGTATGTATGTATGTATGTATGCATACATATATATATGCTTTTTCTTTTAATCTATTGAGAGAACAGAATATAAGGAGATAAGGGGAGGTTGGAAGGAGAATAAATACATTAGTGGCTAATAGTACACTCACTGTATATAGGCAACAAACTATGTTGCATGTGTGTGTATTGGTGGTAGTTGGACAGAGTTCCAAAAGTGGAGATGGAATATGGCTGAGGCTAAGGAAGGCCAAGTAGAAAATAGGCATGGCACTCTGTTAGTTCTAGTGCTGGGGACCTCCTCTTCCACGACCTTAGTGAATGACCAAGGGAGAAGGTCAGAGAACAAACAAATAAGGAAAAGGAGGGTCTATCTGTCACAGAACTTCATCATCAACTAGATTGATTTTATATATAATTATAGACCATTGGAAATAGAAGGTTGTAAATGAAAACTAGAGTCCCTGAGAATGCAAATGGTTATGTGCTGAGCTACTAACCCAAAGGTTGGCAGTTTGAACCCACCCAGAGGTGCCTCAGAAGAAAGGCCTGGTGATTTGCTTCTAGAAGGTCACAGCCAAAAAAGCCCTATGGAGCACAGTTCTGATCTGAAACACATGGGGTTGCCATGCGTCCAAGTCAACTCAATGGCAACTAGTTTGGTTTTAGTTTTTAAATGAAACCTTATCCTGATAAACACATATTACTAATGTGTTTAATGTATTGGGAGCTCTCGCGGCATAGTGCCTAAAGTACTTGACTGCTAACCAGAAGGCTGGGAGTTCAAACCCACCAGCCACTCCTCAGAAGGAAGGTTGGGCAATCTACTTCCGTAGTGATACAGCCTCGGAAACTCAAGGAGGGGTCGCTATGAGTCAGGTCCGACTTGACAGCATATAACAACAACAACATGGGAGGTTTGTGTAGACTTAGGAGTCCCTGGGTGGTACAATGGTTACCATGCTTGGGTGCTAACTGAAGGACCGGTGGTTTGAGGCCACCCTTTGAGGAACCTTGAAAGAAAGACTGGGTGATCTGCTTCCCAAAAAATATCATTGAAAACCCTATGGAAATTGGCAAATGTTGTGTTATATATATCTCTACAATAAAAAAATAAATTCAATAAAAAAAAAAGAGAAAGAAACTCTATGAAATACAGTTCTACTCTGACAGACATGGGGTCACCATGAGTCAAAATCAACTGGACAGGCAACTGGTTTTATACACTTATCAAACATATTATTTCATCATGGGTACATACTCAAAACAACATCTAACCAAACTACCACCTACTTTTACTATCACAGTGAAAAAGCAAGGAGATTTTTAGTACCAAAAAGCAGAAAGAAATGTGTAACAGAATACTGATCAGAAAATTTATATCACCATAAACATTATCTTGTCCTTATTTTTCCCATGCCACTAGGTATTTAGGAGCCCTGGTGGTACAATGGTTAAGCACTTGGCTGCTAAACAAAAGGATAGCAGTTTGAAGCCACCAGCCGCTCAGCAAGAGAAAGAAAGATGAGGCAGTCTGCTTCCATAAACATTTATAGCTTTGGAAACGCTAAGGGGCAGTTCTACTCTGTCCTATAGGGTCACTATGAGTTGGAACTGACTCAGTGGCAGTGGGTTTTCCTTTTGATTTTACAGGCCACCAGTGAAAACCGTGTCAGGGCACATGTACTGTTTGAGAACCACTTGACCTCCAGGGGAGCCAGTGGGTACCTCTAAAGCCTACTTAAGTAGCCTCGTTTCACACCTAGATTATTCTATCTGTCTAGCTAACTAGCTAATGAGCTAGTTATCTTTTTGCCCCAAAATACAAAGTAGAGAAATGTTAATTATAGATTTTTAAAACTTAATTCTACAGTTTCAAATATATATATATGTACCTTTTAATACAGAGCCCCCTTTGTAAAGAGATTTTTCATTCCCATTAAAGCAGTAGGAGCTCTGGTAGCACAGACTGCTATGCTATGACTGCTAGAATAGACTGCTATGCAGCTAAGCAGTAGGAGCGCTGGTTAGCTCTTGACTGCTAACCAGAAGGCTGGCAGTTCAAACTCACCAGCCACTCCTCAGAAGGAAGATTGGGCAATCTACTTCTGTAGTGATACTGCCTCGGAAACCCAAGGAGGGGTCGCTATGAGTTGCTCAACGGCACTTAACAACAACAACAAAACATTAAAGCAGTAAACAGTACTGTTTCTCAAAACCCAACAAAAACACAAGCTTCATTTAAAGCCAATTCTAAGAATAATTTTAGCCCTACCTGACATTTCACACGCATCCCCCCATAGTGCACACCTTTCCTCCTTCATCTGTCAAGGCAATTAAAATTCTCAAAGTAACAATGCTAATACAAGTTACTGTTTTTCAGCAATTTCAAACTCTGGCTCCAACACTTTGGTTTAGGAATTGCAAGCTAACTTGTTCAAAAGTATAGAACTTTCATTTTAATTTCACATTTATTCTTGCCAGTGGAATAATACTTTTTTTCAGCAAAGGGCAAAAACATTTATGCCTAGGCTCCATAAATTTAATTATCTAGAAGGCAATTTCGTGGGACATATCTTTCTGGCAATTCTTAGTGTTCTTTCAAAAACTTCATGGATGCAGAAAGGCAGAAGTTTATTAAGTAAAGTGTTATAAATGCTCCAATCGCCTGGCATAATAAGAGAATGTGACATTCAAATCATCACAAGTTAAAAGTTACCAATATTAATTATTCCTCAAAAAAAGGATTTAAAAAGCACTATACAGATTATTTACAGAAAAATTTTTTTAAAAAATTAAAGCATCCAGGAGAGGAGGGAACACTACAAAAATAAAAATAAATAAATAAAGTAAAAGAAAGAAAGAATTAGAGCATCCAGAAATTACACCTAATCGGGAGCTCTGGTAGCATAGTGGCTAAGGCACTTGACTGCTAACCAGAAGCTGGTGGTTCAAACCCACCAGCCACTCCTCGGAAGGCAGATGGGGCAATCTAAACCCAAGGAGGGCTCACTATGAGTCGGGTCCAACTAGACGGCACATAACAACAACAAACCTTGTTTTAAACAGCAAACACTGTTTAACCTTTCTGATGATTAAGAAGGCTCTTGAGGATTTGCATTATAAACAGGATTTGTCTTGATGCTACAGCAACCTGTCAATTAATTATAGGGAATTCTAGTTGAGGACATGCCAGGCGACAGCTGACTGTATTATTTCTACAGAAGTAGTATTCAGCCCTTTAAAAAAAAAAAATATATATGGCTCTGGGGTCAGATAGACCAGTGTTTGAATCCTGGCTCTTCCCCTCCCAGCTGTGAGGTCATGGGTAAATTACTACTTTAGCTCTCAAACTTTCCTCTTCTCAGTATAAAAAACTGCCCTGCTGGACTGCTGGATTCGCCTTCCAGGTCCATCAGCGACTGAGGTGCACTGATGGACTCAGGCCCAATGCTTTTTTGGTAAAGAAAGGAAAGAATCACAAAGACAGAAATAATATAATAAGGTTATTAGGAGGACTGACAAGTGGCTATCTCATGCATCTTAAATTAGGAATGATAACTCCCATAGAATTATTTTAAATATTTGGGAAGAGGAATGAGTTGAGGGGAAGAGAAGGCAAGATGAGGAAATAAAAGGAGAATTTAATGAGGCCTTCAGAATATAGATGCTGCCTCCTCCTTTCTGCTCTATTAGGAGAAACATGGTCTCCCTGAACATTCAGAAGGTTTATCAGCACCCCCAAGTGGTGGCTCATCCTAGTTCCATCCCCTAGAACTGACTGCAGTTATAGTAGAAATAGAACCAATTATTTAGCCACGATGAAAATATAAATAAGATTTTAAATAAAACTGTCACATTCCTGTTAAGTTTTTTATTTCTCCTAGGAAATTCTGAATTATCCACATCAAAGTCTCTAAATACATTCTTAATGTATTTAAGAACTTCTTTTCAGTGCTTTCAATGTTTAATATATAATTCAGCAAATTTAGGCAGTGATTCTGAGATTCCTACAAAATCAAAGTCTATGAGATTTCAAAAGATATCTAGACTGTAAGCACTTAGGAGAATAAAGCAAGTTATTACTGTGGTATGCTTAAGACTGTCTATACTACAATTAGTAGAGATTATTAATAGAAAAAAAGTAAAACCTAATTTGTATGTATTTCTTGTCCAACAGATTTATCACATAAATTTATAAGATGAATAATAACCAGTTACCTTAATGGAAGCTAGCAAATACGTAGTTATTAATACTATACTGTGAAACAATATTTAGGTACATGTGCTTGAGGTAATGCTACAATGAATTTGCACACCTTGACCCTATGGGCAGACTTCCCGTACTTAACCCTGAGCATGGAGAAGGCACTCCCGGCCCATCCAAAATGATTTAACTTGTTAATTTTGGTAAAATGAAAATTCTGTATAATAGGCTAACTACACTGTAACAACTGATACTGAGATGGAAGAGGAAGTTACAAACTAAATATATCGTAATATTCCAATTGTGTTAAAAAAAAAAAAAAAGACCCCAACTGTTTATTGAAATTAAGCTTTTGAAACCTTGGTAAGTTAATAACTGAGTATCTGGAAAATCACCCAAATAATCTAAACCAACTTCCTTGGTGATGCACAGGGCTTACACTTGGGGAAAAAAATATTTTTTTTTAGGAAGTGTTTTACCTAAAAACATATTCTTACATTTTCCCTTATTTAAAACCAGGCTGTAACCATTTCCTAAGATACCAAACTTTTGGGTCTTTAGCACAGACTGCTGACAAATTAAGGCAATGATGAGAGAAGTTCAGTTTAAAGTCCATTTTCAAACCAATATAAACTCAGGTTGTTTAAAGGATTATTTTAGGTAACAAATCACATGTATTTTTTTTTCCTAAATGGACCAAATTATGTATTTCTAAAAAAATAAAACAACTGTTAATACTTGACAGTGTTGGTGGGAGATTAAGATGACAGCACAACTTACTTCAAGCAAGTGCCCGCCTCCCAAACCAGGACCAGTGTCTGTGTTTCTAGAATAATATGGTAAACATCCCAATAATCCACATAAACAGAAACAACAAAACAAGACGTACAGTTTCTATAGCATTGGCCTCACCAAGAAGAGAATGTACCATTAAAAACCCTGCGAACTTCAGAAGCAGAGCTCTGGGTTACAACGGCAGTTTTCCTGTTGGAGAGTAGCTAGCCATTTTCAAGACAGTCTAGACAGGTAGCCACGTAGGGCTCTGCATAAGTACAGTACTAACAGAAAGCACTAGTTCCCTGCCGTGTAGAGGTCACACCCAAGTAAATTAATTCCTTCAGTAAGTCTTGCTTTGTCAGCATACTCACTGTAAAACATATAACGGACACTAAAAATAGAAGTCAAGATTATAGGCAGTATTTTGGAAACCAGGTCTTCCTCAAGCTGTGGAAAAAACCTGGGTGGCCCAGATTCCTCCCCTTCTTAAAATAAGACTGCTTTTCCTCCCACTCTACAAAGAGGTGGGAATGTTTACATGGATACATCTGATGTGTTGACACAGCTCTTAGCAATAAGTCCTTCAAAAGGGCGATCTTTTCCTTCAGATTCTGCAACAAAGCTCTGATTGTCACCGTAAGCTGAAAAGAAAAGAACACATCCTAAGTATTCTGGTCCAAGGTATAGCGTCTACCAGATAATATCACGTACACTGTGTTTTACATCCTATGATTCTACAAGGAAGAGTTGGAAGAGATGTTTAGTCTCCAACTGACAGAAAATCAGGGTCGTAAAGAATCCTAATGGCCACTGATCCGGCCACCCACCGAATACTTGGACCTGTTCTACACCCTGACCCAGTGGTAAACCAGCCCACCCATGAACTCCTACACTGACTAGGAACTCACTACTTCCAAGGCAGGCCTCTGGCAGTTCTCCCTCACAGTAAGTTGAATTCTGTCCATCTGATCTATTCCTCTCTCTCAGGGCCATGCAGGAAAAATGTCATCCTCTTTCCATATGACAGGTGCTCAACTATTGATATGTCAGTGACTGGGTACCCAAGTCTTCTCTCACCTACACGTCCCTCGGCCATGCTTCAGATGATGGGGCTTCAAGTCTCATGGCTCTCCTGGCCACTGTTCTTGAAACACACTGGTATACTTATGTCCCACTGAAAAGTTTCAGAGCAATCTGGTTTTTTTTAAAAAGAGGAATGTGAATCCCTGTGAATGACTGCTTTTTCCAGGAGCAAGTGGTTTTCTCCAATCATTCTACTTCTACAAAGGCAGAGGAAATTTTTATTTGTGACTCTAAGGGCTACACTAAAGGGTGGGGGAGGGATGGAGAGAGCCTCTCAGAAATAAGAACAAAACTGCCCACTTAAAGTATAATCGACCAAAGATGAAGTCAGAGAGACATGGCATTACTTTAAAAAGACAGAACATCAGATTTCATTTGCTATTTAATTAAAAGCAGCAATTCTCCAACCGCAATAGAAGCAGCACGTGCTCCCTCCTCAGATCAGCAGGGGGGGTTACATGAAGGAAAAAACAGTAGAACACCAGGGGCTGGCCACGGGCTGCACACACCAGGCAACCATCCGAGGGGTCAGCAGACGAGAAAAATCTAACCTTAACTATTCCAATACCTCTGGGAATCAGAGAATGGCCTAACTCTGCAGGAAGAGTAAAATAAGCAAACACAATACACACATTATAAGTTTATTAAAGAGTCTATAGAATGAAAGATCAGTATTCAAGGGATGAACGAGAGTAAAACCAAACCAACTCCCTGCCATCAAGTCAATTTCAACTCATAGCAACTCCCATTGGGTTTCCAAGGCTGTAACTGTTTATGGAAACAGACTGCCTCATCTTTCTTCCACGGAGCAGCTGGTAGGTTTGAACCACCAACTTTTGGTTAGCAGCCAAATGCCTTAACCACTATACCACCAGAGCTCCTTGAAAGAGAGTCAAGCCATTAAAAATGATGACTCAGATCCAAATTCGTTAACACAGAAATACAACCACATAATTTATTTTTAAAAAACTCACGTTATAAAATGAACAGCAGAGTATAAGTACACCCACCTGGGAAAAACTATCAAGGAACTAAGTATACCAAATGCCAAGTATGGGTTTCTCTAAGTAGTTGAATTTCTTAGTATTTTATAAGAAAATTATTATTATCAGGAAAAATTTTGTTACCATAATTAAACAGAAGCTTTCCAAAGCATAGAAGGATGGGAAACCTAATTCATTTTATAAGCTGTCACAACCGTGATAACAAGCATTGGCAGAGAGAACAGAAAAAAGGAAACCACATGCCAACTGCACTTAAGGATTATAAGTAAATGTAAAAGTCTTCTTAAAGATTTTAGCAAAACAAAATCAGAATTATATTAGAAAGGATAATATATCATAACCAAGTAGAATTTCTTCTAGTAATTTGAGAATAGTTTGATTAGAAAATCTAAAAATAAAGCTGATAGTGTTAATAATCAAAAACAGAATAATTAAATATATGATTAATACAGTATGGGGGGAATTGCTTTAAAATCCAGTCCTAATTAAAAACAAAACAAAAATAGAGGAAGAAGAAGAATCAAACACTACTTCTTAACTCTAATATTATTTAACAGTGCTCGAGAGATTTTTAACCTATGCAATAAGACAAGTTAAGGAAATATATAAGGAGGAGACAAAATAACCATTAATTGCAAATTGGTAAAAGTCTACTTGGGAAGCTTATGAGAATCAACCAAAAGACTGTTAGAAAAAATAAAAGAGTTGAGTACTATGATCAATTAAAATGAAAGAGAAAAAAAAAACCCAGGACAGTCCGAAAAGATGAAATAATCACTATCTGCTGATTGATAATAGGCTATTTGGGAAGTGTAAAAGAATCAACTGAAAGATTATTAATAAGAGAATTCAGTGTGGTGATCAATTGTAAAGTGAAAAAAATCAAGGGTAATCCTAAATTTAAGTAATAACTAGTAACAATTTTTTTTTTTAAGCTTCATTAATAATACCAACAAAATCTAAAAAGCATCTAATAGATGCCTGGCACATAGTAACTGTACTTATATTGCTGAAGAAATAAGTGAAAGTAAACACTCAATATTGTAAAAATGTAAATTCTTCCCAATTTAATCTATAAATATACTATAAAGCTATTCAGTATTCTATTTGGAATTCTTTCACTTGGGACAGGTAGGGTGATAACTGAAGCACAGCACAACATTTTCTAGCAAAGCTTCATTAAATTACTCTACAAGGAAGAAAATGAAAGAGAATATGAAAAAGTCATGAAGATGAGTAATAAAGGGGGTATTAAACCAAAAAGGGGAGCTCTGGTGGCGTAGAGCCTAAGGCACTTGACTGCCAACCAGAGGCTGGGGGTTCAAACCCACCAGCCACTCCTCAGAAGGAAGGTTGGGCAATCTACTTCTGTAGTAATACCACCTCAGAAACCCAAGGAGGGGTAGCTATGAGTCGGGCTTGACTCGATGGCACATAACAGTAACAAACCGAAAAAACAAAACAAAGTTCACTGCTATCGAGACGGACCCAATTCATAGCGACCCCTCCTTGGGTTTCCGAGGCGGTATCACTATGGAAGTAGATTGCCTAACCTTCCTTCCAAGGAGTGGCTGGTGGCTTTGAACTCCCAGCCTTCTGGTTAGCAGTCAAGTGCCTTAGGCAGTACGCCACCAGAGCTCTATTAGACATTAAAGGGGATATTAGAAAATCAGATATGAAGTCAGTATTAAAAACAAAACAAAACTACAAGACTGTGATGCTTGCAGCTTCATTAGTGAAACAGAAGGTCCAGAAACAGGGCAGGAGTATAAAAATCTAGTGAATGAAATATAACACATTTCACACTAGGAGGAGGAAGGGAATGAATCATTAAACAGAATAAAATGACGTTAGCTGCCTACAACACACCAAAATTAACTTGAAATATTCTAAAGATTTACATGTTTTTTTTTTAAATACGCACACACACACACACACACAGAAAAAAGCTAAAAGAAAATTTAGATAATTAAGTAACCCACTTATATAATCTCTGAATATGAAGGCAGGCCTTTCTAAGGATGACCTCTAGTCCCATGAGAATATACCAGAAAAATATTGGTAAGTTCACATAAATTTTAAAAACATTTGTTGTTAAGTGCCGTCGAGTCGTTTCCGACTCATAGCGACCCCATGCACAGCAGAACGAAACACTGCCCGATCCCGCGCCAGCCCCCCACAATCCCTGCTATACTTGAGCCCATCATTGCAGCCACCGTATCAATCCATCTCCTTGAAGGCCTCCCCCTCTTTCGTCGACCCTCCACCCTACCAAGCATGACATCCTTCTCC